CACGAGAGGTTGACGACCGTCCTTCACACGGACGAAAGAGGGAGTGCTCAAAGAGCGGCTCCCACAGCAAGGAGGGGCCCCGTGAATCATCGCGGTGCCCCCTACCAAACGGCAATCTTACCAGTCTGCGTGACCCCAAATCATCCAGTACATGTATCCAACAACAATGTTCGCAGACCCACGAACATAGCATCGACCGCGTCGACCGTCCACATGCTTCAACCAACGCCCAGCCCTCACCACGCCCAATTGTTTTAGATGGGTTGAACAGGGTTTTCGCACGATTGAGAGCGAAGTTTCCGATTGAGAGCGAGAACCAAAACAATTCGATATTCGGGTCCAGACGCCTCCCGTCATTTTTCGGGAAGCAGGGGACGGGCTCTTCCAAAAAGCGGCGCAAATTGAAGCTCTCTTCAGCAGCTTCGCGTGCATATGCGTGTCACTGCGATCGGCTGCAGCAGCGAGGAGCTACGCACGTTGCTAGATTTCCCCAGNGTAGCTATGGGCAAGCCCTTCAATTCAAGCCGCACAGCAAGCTCTACCTCTCAGCAGTAGACAAGCTACATCGTATCGCACGATCTCGCTCTCAATCAGATACTTCGCTCTCAATCGTGCGAATATGTTGTTGTTGCTAGATTGACACAGGTTGTTCACACGTATGCAAAATATTTCGTGTTCAAAGCAGAAATATCGGTAGGTTGTACAAGATACCACACACCCCTGACCAAGTTTCAACCTGTATTTTTCCACGACGAAGACGATTCCGAAAATAAATAATACATTGTTCAAAGCTAAAGACGGGACAGTTCCAATGCCGCCATTTCCGGCCTCGCCACTCCTTCTGCTGTGGAATATTCGGGCTTTGGAAATCGGTCCAGGGGTCGTGGTATCTTGTGCAACCAACTGCTGCTGTGAGATCAGTGGATTCGATTCTCTGCGCCTTATAATCATTCGCACCACCCTTTTTTTCTCTTTCGTTGTCCTCCGGACTTACTTTCGATGTACCCCTTTGAAAACATTTTTGGCCGTAAAATCAAAATACCGAGCAAACTCCTGAGCAATATGGCGTGTCGGAGATCGGAAAGTTTTTTTCTTTCGATGTCAAAACAACAACAACTGAGAAAAGGCGGTCGCAGCGGGTCCCCCCATGCCGCGCCACTGATGCGAAGAGAAGGGGGCACCAGCAGTATGGATAGCAGAGCGGAGGGATATGCATGTGCGTCTTCGTATATTGCGTCTCACCCCCCCCCGCCCTTGCATCGTACTATGTAGGCGGATACCGCCATGAGTGGGCTTGGTACCGTCATGTTATAGAAGGTTCTAGGGCCAACCAACCACGGCATTCCCGTGTCAGAGGACGAGGCCATGCAGAGCGTGACCTTCAATCAGGTCCACCGATGCAACCGCACCACCCCATAGCTTAGGTTCGGTCGGGTTGAGCGAACTCTCCGCAGTAAATGCGACATTTTGTTCAGAAATGGTGCCCAGTGATTTGAAAAATATAACATGATGAAAGTTCATGTCCCGACCCCCGACACCTCTGTCCACCGAGAACCGATGAAGGTCTGCTACCGCACCTGCTGTCAGAGTCGTGCATAACATCGTCGATCACTCCGGCAAAGCTCTACGCACGTTTTGAGTAAGTTCGCTCCTATGTGAATTTGAACGGAAGAAACGATGGAGAACCTTCTTTCGAGAGCTGTTCATTCGTCCATTCATGAGACTCAACGAAGAAAGTGTATGCATACAACATAGATAGGGAATAAACGGGGGGGAACAGGGGGACGTGCAGGCAACTATTCCTCGCGATACATTGCTTGCGGAAGGAGTAGAGAATTTTGACGCACGCGCACCGGTGCTGCTGTTGGTTTGAGGGTCTCGTATGTCGTAGCGTTAGCCTATAGTGCAAGACAGGAGGGCGGCGCAAGGTGAACCGATAGCGTGCAACTAGCCAACATCTCATGATGCCAAGCAAGAGCCCTGGAGACGAAGAGTTATTGCCCTTTGAAGGGTAACGCCGCTTCCCTGTGGTAATGACGCTTGGATTTGGTAACCCCCATGTACGTTTTTACAGCGAGGATAGCTGCTGCTGATGTCCTTTTCGCCCTCCTGCTTGCTGTTTCCGGCGCAAATTCCAGGTCATGTACTGTCACCCTTGCTCTGGTGCATCCATCCATCCAGCCCCTTGCCCGCTAAGCATCGTTTCCCCCCCCCTCACGGTATGGATTGGCATCGTTCGAAGGTGCTCGAGCAGTACGTCCTCGCGGATGCCAAGACGAAGATGGGCACCACAGGCTTCACTTCGGTTACAAGAGCGACCCCGACCACGACGGTATTGCCGTACCTTCCCCGTGTGCGAGGCTTTTTCCGAAAAGGCGTGTGCTGCGAAGGGCGGCGGCGGTGAAAAAACTTGGACGTCATCAGCAACATGTACGTTGCTTATGCTTCGATATGTGAAGTATGCTCTATGGGGCTGGGAGGTTTTGTTGTATTTGGCGTATTCTTCGAACCCTGTTTCCCCTTGTGTACTGTTGACAATTTGTCAGCGCTCGTTGGACGTGCAAGCTCTGCTGAAGGTCCAACGCTCTCGTTTGTTTTGTTCCTGACGCGTTTCCAGTGTTTTTAATCATTTTTCCACATTTTCAGTGTGCCCTGGCGTTGCTCTTAGGCAGGCGACGCGCTGGTGGTTGGTCGCAAGCTATTTATGTATGAACCCGTGACGTCAAAAAGACTAACATTCACATGAAACGCTTCTTAATTCTTTGTTTCGTGTCTCAGGTTCTAGGAGAGCTTCATGCGGATTGGCTTGGAAATCGTTGGGCCGATTCTCTCCACCGACAGTATTGATCGTCAGGACGGCGATAAGCGCTACCTCACGCCGTGCGTCTTCGCAAACGAGGGTGAAGGAGGTGGAGGAAGTGACCCAGAGAGGATGGGGGGGGGGGGGTACTCATAGTCGTGCATGCCGTAGTCGTTAGACCATTGACCTCGCATCCCTACAAAGCCGGGACGGAGCACGCCGTGCTCTCACCGGACCAGACTCTCACATCACCAAGCGCGAAGGGCCGTGAGATATTTGGCGAGTCGCATGAAGGGTGCGCTGCATCCTGCTAAGGGTGTTCGGCATCTTGTGCTTACTTCCTTGCGTACGGATGACAGCTGCGTATGACTTAATTTATTTTCTGGTGCTTTCACTTCCAGAGACTGTTCGTGATAGCGGCAGGTAGAACAACATATTCGCCTGATTGAGAGCGTAGCATCTGATTGAGAGCGAGAATCGCTCTCAATCAGATACTTCGCTCTCAATCAGGCGAATATATTGTTGTAGGTGTATCGACTCAATGGCGGGGTTGTTGTTGTTGTTTCTCACATTGGCTCTATAGTCCACAAAAAATGGGGNTATATGGGTATATCTGATTGGACGACTTGACTAGCGGGACTGTCGTTGGAAGGTTNGAAAAGAAAACAAAAATGATAAAGAACAGGTATCGCACCGACCGTTCGAGAAAAGAGCCCTCGGAAACCGATCGAAATATTCCGAAAACAAAAATTAAGGAGGAGAACGCTTCCCACACCCGCCCAAAGAAAAAATCAAAGGGGTAACGTACCAACACCAGGCACTACGCACCAGGGCATGGGAGTAACGGAGCAAACAGGACAAAGAGGCGGCAGATGGGCAGACAGCCAGACGTACAAAAACAAAGGCAACAGCAAAGCGAGATCAAGGTACCCAACACAGCAGAGTAGGCAGGGAGGTCATGAAAAAAAGAAACACAGCACAGAGGCCGAAGGCAATACAANACTGTCGTTGGAAGGTTACTCCGGTTCTGCAGGTTCCGCTGTGGAACATTCGTATACGTATCTGTCGGGCAATCTGTTGTTGGTTTGTGCTTTCCTCCGATGTATTTGTGGCTCGTAGGAAGAGTACAACTCTCCGTGATCGGGGAATCGGGATAGTGTGATGTGATTCGTGATCGGGTTGTCGGGGTATTGCAATTGGGCAGATAGGGGTGCTGCACGCCCTCACCTTGCCCACTCCCATTCCAAACCAACTTATAAGACCAAGTCTCAACTATCCAACAACCTTCTCTCTACAAGCCACGAGTTTACCAACGCGCTATAGCGTCCCACTGGTTTATGGGCTTCTGTCTGGTGCGTACCCGAGCTGCGTCCCTGGACTTCGGGCCTCGGTAGTGGACTTGATCACTCTACTACTATGTCAGACAGGGAAGACCCTGCGACCAACCAGTCTTCGGACGAGCAGCCGCAGGGGGTTGGTGAGAGACTTGTGTCAATGGAATCGCAGATGTCTCATCTAGCGTCTATGGTTAGCACGTTTTTGAGTCAACAACGCGATAGGGACGTGGAGTCCTCTGGTTCGCCTGCGGCGCCGGGAAGCGGCGGACCAGAGTATGCTGGTCGGCACCCTACAGGTGCTGCCGGTGCGAGAGCAAGTAGGGGTGTTGCTGCCCAAGGACTTGGCGTCTCGGGAAGTGCGGGAGGTACGGGTAGCAACGTCCAAAGCCTTGGCGCTTCAAGTATGCGGCTTGGTACTGGTAGTCTTCTAGGCTCTGACCTGAACACGCATGCAGGTGTTAATCGTTCCTTTGTTGCNGGGAAGTGCGGGAGGTACGGATAGCAGCGTCCAAGGCCTTGGCGCTTCGTATGCGGCTTGGTACTGGTAGTCTTCTAGGCTCTGACCTGAACCCGCATGCAGGTGTTAATCGTTCCTTTGTTGCTGCAGTAAACTCAGGTTCGATGGGAATTGAGAGTGGAGCGTTCCGTAGCCGGTCTCAAATTCCACCCCCTCCTACTGCTGCTACCGAANTTTACGCCAGTGAAGAACCTCTAGTGCGTCGAAAATACGTCCGAAAAACCGAAACACAACGACAAACCAAAAGTAAAGGGGAAACCCGGCCACCGGATCAAAACCCCTCAGAAATTCAACGCCTCACGCCGATCATATCACGAAAGATCCCAACGGCTCGAACAAAATCCAATGGCCGTCCATATCACCAATGATTCCAACGGCCGTACTGCAAGAAGACAAAGATAAAACCACTCCAGACGCTCGGATTACAAATTCTAGGCAACGCTCTACTACCTCGAGCAACGCCTCTGACAAATCCTTCCGACATGATGGAACGAATTCCTTGCTGTGCAGCACCCACTGATTCTTCAGGTGTCACACACATACAGACAACGCCCTCCCTGTCTATCTACATTCCACACGAAAACTGCATCGAACAGGTACGTTCTCCCTGCCTTCGGTTCAACCATCTGCAATCCTACACGAACTCAAAATCATGACCTGTTTCCAACTGAAAAACTAATCAAACTCGATTCTCCAAAGGATGCCCGCTGAAATGTACAACCTGCCGAATGTAGCCTGCTTCAAACAAGGTCCACCATCTGCAAACTACCAAATCAATCCTCAGTTCTCCTTCAATCGAGGATACATCAACTTGCTACTGAACCTTCAAGCACAACTAACTACTCAAAACACAAACGCCCCCCCACAACTTGGTAACGCTGTCAACAACATATTCGCCTGATTGAGAGCGTAGCATCTGATTGAGAGCGAGATTGCGCGATACGCTGTAGCCGGACTACCACTGAGAGGTGGAGCTTGCTGTGTAGCTTGAATTGAAGGGCTAGCCCGTAGCTTCAAGCCGCTACCCTGGTCATCCTGTGGGAGTCTCTCGTTGTGGAGCTACAGCGGGGAGCAGAAGCTACAGCAGAGCCCACCGCCCGACGCGATACCGCCCTGAAACAGTTTGAGCAGAAATAGCCAATCTGGGCAAATCTAGCAACTTGTCTAGCTCCTCGCTGCAGCATCCGATGACGATGACACGCATATGNGTGGCAAATTCTACCAACGTGAACGTCTCTACCCCCCGACACTTTGCCATCATCACCAGCAACACAACGTCACCGGCGAAGGATGCACTAATAATGGCATAACGACGAACACAAACATTCAGAACAACCCCGATTTGGGTGNGCAACAGTGAACAGAATTTCCTCGAATACAAGTTGCTTGATTTCATCACGACCTCAAACTGGTACCTCCACACAAAACAAGACAACAAAATCCAAGCTTATTCCAACTACTCCACCAACACATCTTGATGGCGAAGCACGCCTTTAATTCCTCACGTCCATCCTGACGCATTCTTGTCTCCACCGCTCGTTCCCGGCTGATGAAATGCGCGCGGCACCTCCCCACGCGACTTTGATGACACCCACTTAGCTGTGCCCCGTTCCACCACCCACCTCCGGCTGATGGTTGCGCGCCACCTCCGCGCGACTTAATATGCTACTCCCCCCGCTCCTATGACGAGGCAGAACAGCCACGGCCCCTCCGTCCGTGCTGTGGTCAACAAACGCCGCCCGCCCCCGCGTGATCGGCGCCCACCCCCCGACGCGCCGTCGCGCGTGTCAACCGTGGTAGGGCGTCACCGGCCTCTACTGCCGGCCTTGGATCGACGTAACAAAACACTGCCAGCATCAAGCATGTACGGCGCCCACCCCCCCCCC